ACATATATATTGCAGTGGGATATAGCTGAAGCAAACCGAATCCGTGCAGCATTATCATTAGCCTCACGTTTATTTGAAGCATACGACAATTTAATCCAGTTACTCGGGAATCTTGCGTTAATATTTAACAACTCAAAGGGCTCCAATCCTTTTATATTATCCTCGAATGCGCACGTTATCTCGTAATCGCAATGACGCGGCCTTCGCCAGCAACGTAGCATGCGCACACATGGGTTGTAGCATATGAGTTCACAAAGTAAAACATTCGCAGCTACAAAGTGACGTGAAAAATAAAGGGAGTGCTCCTAATCTCAGCTTGTTACCTGTATAAAAGACACATGTTCACAGAAGCAATCAATCAGATTCAAAACTCTCCACCATGGCCAAGACCAAAGAGCTCTCCAAGGATGTCAGGGACAAGATTGTAGACCTACACAAGGCTGGAATGGGCTACAAGACCATCGCCAAGCAGCTTGGTGAGAAGGTGACAACAGTTGGTGCGATTATTCGCAAATGGAAGAAACAAAAAAGAACTGTCAATCTCTCTCGGCCTGGGGCTCCATGCAAGATCTCACCTCGTGGAGTTGCAATGATCATGAGAACGGTGAAGAATCAGCCCAGAACTACACGGGAGGATCTTGTCAATGATCTCAAGGCAGCTGGGACCATAGTCACCAAGAAAACAGTTGGTAACACACTATGCCGTGAAGGACTGAAATCCTGCAGCACCCGCAAGGTCCCCCTGCTCAAAAAAGCACATATACATGCCCGTTTGAAGTTTGCCAATGAACATTTGAATGATTCAGAGGACAACTGGGTGAAAGTGTTGTGGTCAGATGAGACCAAAATGGAGCTCTTTGGCATCAACTCAACTCGCCGTGTTTGGAGGAGGAGGAATGCTGCCTATGACCCCAAGAACACCATCCCCACCGTCAAACATGGAGGTGGAAACATTATGCTTTGGGGGTCAAATCTTGGGTGAGAACCTCCTTCCCTCAGCCAGGGCATTGAAAATGGGTCGTGGATGGGTATTCCAGCATGACAATGACCCATCACAGCGATTTAAGCGAGTCAACAAAAGCAAGTTAATACTTTCTTATGGATTTTTTAAAATGTATATTTTACGGAGCTTATCAAACACTGTAGTTTTAATTTTGGAACATACAGTATGTCACTGATTTATGGTGGTCTAAAAAAAGATATTAAGTGTTGACAGTGTTGGGATCCACAACTCTACACAAGCTCACAGACATTACCACGACAGCATACCCGGTGCAGTTTTGGAGGAAAATGATTTCCTGTAATCAAATTCCCAAAGGCAGGTATTGGTATTGTATGTGATTACTCAATTGGCAAAATGCTTTCTGATTGATTACTTTTTTTAAAGATCACTGTTATTTGTCAATTATAATTAAACAAAACAGTCACGAAAGCTTTAAATCGAAAAATCAGATAATTTGTTTATGTAGCTGGGACAATTAGTCTACAGGGTGGATGCCCCAAAAGCCATAGACACCAACAACTTAAATTGTTACGTGAAAAAAGAGCAATCACAAAAGTAATCGTCACTTAAAAAAACCCCACACCAAACGTGGAAATACACGACTTCTCTAAACTTGAGTAATCAGTATCCGAAGGTTGACGACTGCGCTTTTTCCCAATGAATGCTGTCAATGCTGAATGTGAATAGCAAAGAGGTTTCACGTAACATGTACAACCATTTTTGAGAAGTAAAAATAACATACTGAAACTTCTTGAGCCATCACAGATGACAACAAATTACAGAAGTGAATCCCATCGCATGTCCACGTTGCTCGTTGTGTGATATTATTATTCTTGAGTCGAGCGTATGTCGATGGGTCACCACGATGTACGATTCATAACAACACGAGTTCATATCCGTCTACTTTAACTATGCGTTAGTAAACACGGCCTCGGAAGAGGATACCACTGTAAAAACACAACGTTGCTAATATGATATGTTAATTTATTCCTCGGCACCTAACCAATTACACAGTTTAAGGTGATTTACACCCAGGTAAGTATCATAAGGATGCACACCTAAATAACAGTAAAATTAGTCCTTATTCAACAATTGTTTCATAATGACAAGAGCAGACACAACATCAACGCCGTGTATGGGAAAACTTAAACACTCAAGTGCCATAGCGTTTACACTTTAATTGGGCCAATAGTCCTCTATCTTTTTTTGCTGCCCGCTGATTACGCTAATGCCATGGCCATTTAAGCCGGTTACGCATCACCGATGTACCATCCGCATACATCACCTGTCACTTCGGCACTGTCGGTGTTGATCTGATGCTGTTGCCATGGTAACAACGATATGGTTATACTCATTTGGACAGTTCGGTTGACAGCACAATATTAGATCACCATTATTATCATCATCATCATCATTTAAATCACGATCATCTTCCCTTCGGCTCAGAATCGCGATGAGAGGTCGTGACCATTCTATTTGCGCTCTCCACTTGTCCCTTTGCCCTGTGGGTGTGTTGTCGAGTGGAGAGTCAGTATGCTCTATGCTATGCATTGTTCAGAACTCGCTAAACTCCCTTGAGGTGAAACAGGAACCTCTGTCACCGTTCATGCGAGTAGGTAGCCCACACTCATTGATGAAACAGGTCAATTATTTTAGTGCGTGTTTTGGTCAATGATTTAAGTGTGTCTTGTGACGAGTCACGGGTAGGCTATGGTCAGGTAAATTGAGTGATGTCGTTGTTAAAGATAAGCAGCTCAATATTCCCCTCAAATGTCTCGTATGGGCCAAGGAGATCCACGTGCACCTTTTCAAATTAGCAACGGCCTGGTGGTATTGGGACAAATTGTCTCAGGTGGCTGTCCACCCGGAATCATGTTGAGGCAAGCATTTCAAGCCAGTAAGTGGTGTACCGACGAATTTTGCGACGTTTTCCCATGAACCAGTAGTCATTGGGAATTGTGACCACCGTACTCTCCGCGGAGAAGTGACCGCGGGAATCATGGTAGCGCACAGTGATACTTTTACGCACTGATTATGTGAGAATATAGGATCATGTCGGTTTACTGTTGTCATATGCTATAATATGCAGGAAATATCCATATCTACGCACGAAGCCTTTTGCACGTGCATTCTCTATCTGGTGTTTTCAAAATGTTGATTATCTTGCACAGAGTGATCCTCGGTACTGACCAGAGCTGCCTTGCGAAGATTTCAGTACAGGTGTTCCCCTCTGATGTTACCACTCAGAGCAGGTCAAGGAACTATGTCCTTTCTGCTTGTAGATTAAACTAAACTATGCTTTGTATTTTTACAAGGTAAGGCCCACTGAGCTATATAACTATATAACTAGAAGCGATCTGCCTACAAATGGTAGCTCAAGGAAGTGGCTTATCACGTGGAAATGTATTGCAGGCAAATACTCTTCACTCATGTTTCTAAATGTGAAGGAAAAAACCGGAGAACCAGGATAAAAATCCACGAAACCACGGGGAGAACATCAAATTCCAAATATACAGGCGTCAGGGTCGTGATCGAATCCATTACCTCCTATATACCAGGCGAGGTAGTTAACATTTCCCTACCATAGCACAATGTGAGGTTTTCGTGGCAATTGGCAGTCTACAGTAATGACTCCTCAAACCTCGCGCTTGCAGACCCAGTTCTGTGGCATTCACGTTCCCAGTGGTAGCTGGAGCTGGTGCCCCTATCTTTGGGGCCATATCTTTTTTATAATTGGGCGGTGTATTTTCTGGCTTCTGATATATTCGGATTCAGCATTGCCGATACGGTGAGCAGACCCTTTGCTGACCTCCGCGATTTCACGGAGGTCACCGAGCAGGTCGGTGTTGTAGTGGACGTACGCCCTAATTTACCAGTTGTTTCTTCATTTCTGGGAACTTCAACTGAAGCTCCTTGCATTGTCGAACCTGATTATGGAAATTTACCATCATTATTTCCTGTTTCCTTTGAAATTGGGCCTTTATCTGCTCCCAATGTTCAGGAAAGGTTCCTCAACATGCTTATGAAAGTCCATTTGAAGCCATTCAGAAAATGCAACTATGACTAGATGTCGTATGCACGCATCAGATACCGGATGAGTGCGGCTTCCATTACATGCAATCGAGTCGACTGTAGCGAGAGTTTTTCAGACATCATTTCACACTGCTGATGGCTCATTTATTCACCAGAGAGCTCCGGGATGATTTGATTCAAGTCGAGCATCACCTGGTAGTTGGTCGATGCTGACTTGATGCGGTTGATCATTATCATCTCATTGCATCTATCATTGGCCGTGAAGAACTGCCAGTGTGTCCGGGGACGCAGTAGTCTGGCTATGTTTGCCATTTCTCGTATCCGCTCACCATGCTGGTGATCACAGGGTCCGTCTCTGCAAAGTAGTGCTGGCTTGAGCCGAGCCTCAAATCGTCTCGGTCAATTACCCTGCTCCACCTTCATGGTGACGATGGAGCGGCGCATAATTGGCACAATGGTTCAATCTTGATTTGAAGCTTTCGTGACTGCAGGAATCCATACTCTTTGGTTCTTTCGGTAAAGTCACGTAGGTGACTTTACCTACGTGACTTTACCGAAAGAACCAAAGAGTATGGCACAATGGTGGAAAAAAGACGCAGAGATGTCGACGTCGTCACGTTTGTCGAAACAACAAAGGGAGTGGCACGAGACTTTTAAACATAAATGTGCCATTACGTCGGAGTGTGTCAGAGCTCTGAGATGGCGCGATTGTGGAGCATGAAGATGGGGTTGCTGAAGGCGGCTGAACGGTGGAGTTGACAAGACGCAGCAACGGTGCTTGGACGCGGCATGCTAAAGGCGCCTACCGTGTGGTTCTCTAAAGGTGGGACTTTCTGTCTTTCACTCCTGGGTCTATCTCAACTCCCGACGGATCGTCTCTTTAACTGTTATCCTCGGCAATGTAATAATGATGCGGTTCAAGGTGCTTGTGGCTCAGGATGGTGTCATGAATAAGTAAACTAAAGTAAATGAGTCATTATACAATTTAGGTCTTTATTAAACAAATTCGGGAGCAACAACAAACATTACCTTTCAGTAACTATAACCGTCTTTATTGTATATCCACTGTCTCAACTGCCTAAAAGCGTGGTACTGAACTCCACTCCTTGGTGACGTCACGCACATGTGCAAGTTTTCTATAAAAAAAGAATGTCATGTTGAAATTTGGGGGAAAAAAATGTAACATTTAAAGAGTATTGTCAATACAATAGCGTTCTTTTTTACAGAATTTAATACGGCAAAATCATTACTCTTCATAAGCATGAACCAAATGTGTGAAAATGGTAATGAAGAGACACTTGCAGCAAATTGTAAAGCTCACAATTTATTTAAAAGAGTATCATTTTAAATAGAGTGCTTCAGATAAACCCATACATACTCCGTATATGTTTGAAAGTACTTAAACGTTTACGCCCATTTCAATTACTTCTGATCACACGGTTTGGTTTTGAGGTCACTATGGGTGAATATCATTACGTGACATCGAACTCGCGGTTTTCATTTCTCTTTACCTAACGGCACGGTTTGCCATTGTGTCGCCTAGCGAACGGAGACGCCGGTGGGTGTGCTCGACGATTTGATTAAAACATTCACACTGGTCACGTCACAATAGCCACCCAAGAGGGACCCTTTTGTGACCGTACATTTACAACCCACCACCACCACTATTATTATTATCATTATACCAAAGTGGCTTCGTATACCACATACGCTGTGATATACATCGAATATTACAAAAGGCCAATGATGATGCGAAAAGTCTCTACATTTTATTGTCGATTATACAATAAAATACACGTTATTATCTCATTGATCCAGCCGATAGAACAGCTTCCTCATCTGTGTTGTTATTATAGTTTGACGAGTGAGTTGTGTACGTGAGACTGCAGTGTACAAAACACTGGAATGTAAACTCCACTTGCACAATGGATTATTATAATTACACACTCTATATAATTTTTGTGATTTTTTTTTACAAACTGTACAAAACGCATATGGAAGGTATTGTAGCAGCATGCCATTTTTTTTTCATTCGAGGGAAGCAACAAGACACACATTTCTGAAGAGGGCCCCACACTTTAAGAATATAATAAAAAATAGAATCCCAACATAAAAAATAGAAGAAAGGTCCTTAAAGAATACCTATATATGATGCGATGTTTCATTATTGCAACACTGAACAAACTGCTCGAGACGGCGCGTGGCCACGCGTGTTGCCCACCCCACCGTGGTTCCCGCAGCTGCTGCTGCGCCCTTCTTTATTGCAGTGTCTTTGGCAACCTCCACGAAGTGAATCCACTTGCAAGCTCAGCCAGAGGCCAGTGCGACTTATACTGCACGGGACAAAAAAAGTGCTTCTTCTCCTCTGTGTTATAAACCAGTCGCGTGGTGCTCACGGCTGCAAGTGTCGTTCGTGTGCAGTGCAGTGGAGTGGGGTTGCAGCTCGCTGAGGCTGCAAGGGGCCTCGGTGCCCATCTCTTTGTCCCTCTTCCAAAGCTGCGGAGCATCACTTGTCTTCGGGCCTCTCCATGGTGTCCTTGGACAGATAGACCACCCAGTAGACCATGTTGAAGACCGCGAACGACACGGGGAAGAGGATCCGCGCGTACATGTCTATCTTGCTCGTGCCGGCAGAGGGGGGCGGCGGGGGCGGCGCGGTAGGTGCCGGCGCCACGGGCGCGGAGGCTTTACCCGCGTCGGACGCCGCAGGGTTCGAGGACGACGCCGGTCGCTGCTGCTGCTGCTGGCCGGACGTCCCAGCCGGGGTCTGTGTGGAGGCCGCACGCTGCGGCGACCGTGGCAGGGGGCTGGCGCCCGAGCAGCGGCTCGCCAGGCTCGCCGTGTCGGGCGAGGCGAGCGGGTGGCGCGCGAACAGGTCCACGCGGGACGCGGCCGCCGAGTTGACTCGCTTCTTCAAGTTGCAGTGGGTCTCCGAGATGTTGGCGCTCTGCCCGAGGCGCAACAGCAAGAACACGACAAGTAGACGGCACGCGGTTAGATTATATTATCGGTAATCGGTCGGCCGTTCTGGCATAGCCCACACTCACGATGACTCACCCTCCCCCCCTTGAGTGGAGGGGGGGGGGTGAGTTTCTACACTGGACACCCTAACGAAGTGGACATTGGGCCCAGGAATGCATTACGACAATAAATCGTCCCATTATATAATGCGCCAGCAACATTTTATAATTTGAAGAACTACTATGAGTTCAACTATTCATATGCCGATTTAAAAAAAAAACTTCCATCATTAGAGATTTTAAAATGTAATCATTTTGAGATGCCACGGTGTAAAGTGCAGTCTCTTATCCACTCAATGTCTCTAGCCTTTCTATGTGCTGTGGCATTAAGACCACTGCCCGAAACGTCACCTGTGATATATTGTTTATTTTAAGGCCATGGCATTATGGATTAATGTATTGACTTGTGTTTTGTGCTGACTGTGTTTGTTCACCACTGCCAATGCAGCGTTGCTACGTCGAGGTGACGGTTCTTTGACCTATGGGCTGAGTTGACCCCCAACTAGGATTGGAACTTGGAACCCCTCTGATTGTGGCCACTCTACCACATCGTCTTCTGGCTGGATTAACTTCACGACAAAACATTTTACATACTTGATTTAACAATGTGTGGTGGTCAATGTATATGCAGGCATGAGATTACCAACACCATTGGGAACTGCAATGGCAAAAAAATAGCTGCTCATACAATAATATTCCAAGGCTGCACTAACATAAAATGTAACCATCCTACGCATTTTTAAAATATACTTACATTTTATTATTATGTTTAAATAATTGTTGCCTAATATATGATCGTAAGAAATATTTTGTTGTCTTTTTATTTTAAATTGCCAAACGTTCACATTGTAAGATATTAACACAATAGAAACCAACGTTATATAGAGAGAAAGCTGTTATCCTTGACGTTAATTTATAACTACATCTGAAATTTTAAGTTTGGGCTAAGACGTTCACACTATTATGCATCTTTTGTGAGTTTTCCCAGAATATGGTAAGACAAACTTGTAACGCCAGACTCGAGTACGTGGAATTATGGGTAAGACAGAAAAGCCATCCAAAACAAAAGAGTATTCAGAACAAATATAAAAAAAATAATGAAACATCTCGGAGCCAAATGGTGTGAGCACGGCGATGACTGCGTGCGGTGGGACACGGAGATCTGTAGCCACAACGCGTGCCACGCGGCCATCCCCTGATGATGACGTTTCACTCTCATTGTTGTACGTTGAACTTGAACCTTTTTTCGCCCCGTACGTAGCCAACCGTGATAATCGGAGGTGCGGGGCCAGGACTACAAACTAAACACAAAATGTAGCTCTAAAGAAATCCGTTTTTCAATCGAGACAAGTTATGCATCTGTGAGAAAAACCTCTAGGCAGGCGGTCGCCGCTTCCTGTGAGATTGGGATTCAAGAATTCAAGAAGTGGCAGGAGCATCATTATCATAATTGCTATCAACTTCGTAATCATCATCATCATCAAGCTGCGAATCTGCACCTCTGTGGAGCTGTCTCTTCTTGTCACGCACGCAGATCAGGCTTTGTGAGACCAACGGAGTGTCCACAGCGAGCTGACGTCAGGGCACTGGGCCCTGAATCCCATCGGCCATGATGCCGATTGGTGGCGGAGTTTTATTCAGAATGCGGTTTTGGACATCATTCTACATATATTAAATGTATGTCAATTTATGTAAACAGATGTGTAAAACTAATCATGAAGTACTTCATTTATTTGCTAAATTTGCCTTTTAAAAAAAGTGCTCAACTGGTGCACTCGGTGAACCTGGCCGCTTGGATGCCGCCACGGTCATCCACGTCATCTGCCGCTGCTCTCCTGTTTTACATTCTTTTTTTTTAACCACAACTAATTGTTTGAGAAGAAGACAACCCGATGATGCAGACAGTGATGAGAAGGAAACTGACACTATTTGGACATATATGTAGAATGGGCAACAACAGGAAAAAAGTGCTTTCGGACAAATGGAAGGAACCAGAAAGAGAAATACCTAACAGAGAATGGCTTGACAACGACGTAAGAAGAGATTGGTGCCAGAAAGATGTGGCAACTACCTGAGCATATTGGCACGAGACAGAGGAAAGTGGAAACAAATAAGGAAATGTGCAGTGGACACCTACGGACTATCTTCCCATGGGCTGTGATGATGATGAATGTTTCTAGCCGATGAGAAACCCTCTCCAGCCTTTCTCCTTTTTACCTCTGATGGTAAGCGACTCACATTAAACTGTACATTCATGATTTGCTTTTATTGTAATTTAATTAGAAAAACTAAATATGAAATGTATCGTTGTTATGTTATTCAGCATTCATTTTGTATCAGGTGTTAGTTACATGCAAACGTAATGTTAAAGACTCCCCCAAACGAGTCGGTCTTTGAGTGGAATTACTGTTCCTAACTTTGACATTGACATGACTATGTAGGACTCCAGAGCTAGTGCCATTGTTGGCGCCGGTTCTGGCTGTACCTGAGTAATTCTATAGCGGCGTTTTGAGATGCAAATTGAACCAAACGCAGACGCCGCTTTTTATATAAACGTTCTTATTACATTACAAGTTTTGCTCAAATGAGTGTGCAGCAATGTGAATGTCTGTTCAAAGCCATGAATCAGTGCCGATATATCAACATGACTACGGCTAGGGCCAGTCTCTCCATTTAACAACAGCGAAGCCGACCGGCTTAGTGACAGCCGCGCTTTGCTGTGGGGCTATGAAGCCACGTGTACTACACGGAGCACATAACAGAATTATATATATAGTGTCAAATGACTACAATATTTCTTTCATATGGCATTTGAAAAGCAAAATGACGAAACATTGCACACGTAGGTTAAGTTTTGTAAATCCATTCGATGGCATCGGGAGTTGCTTGAAGTGGTATGTACGTGCATCTGCGTAAATTGACTACAATGAGCCAAGTCAATGCAGTTGAAAGGGTTCCTCCTTTCTGGGAGCGCTTAGACGGCTCTGGACATGCTCGCCGATCGTGTTAGAGGAAGCGGGGGGGGGGGGAACCCATGCTCTGCTTCACCCCAGCTGATCAGCCAAATAACTTATTGTAGAGGTGAACACATTTTTCCATGTTCCAATTCACTTGATTGAGAATCATAGCATCGATAAGTCCGCTGTGTTAGTCGATACAATGCTGCAGAATGATATCCAACTCACAGAAAGAACACCTCGTGCGTGTGAGATGTGTGTGGGATGCGCGTAGGATGTGTGTAGCATGCGTGTGAGATGTGTGTGGGATGCGCGTAGGATGTGTGTAGCATGCGTGTGAGATGTGTGTGGGATGCGCGTAGGATATGTGTAGCATGCGTGTGGGATATGTGTGGGATGCGTGTGGGATGCGTGTGGGATATGTTTGGAATGCGTGAAGGATGTGCGTGGGATGTGCATGGGATGCGTATGGGATGTGTGAGGGATGAGTGTGGAATGCGTCTGGGATGCGTGATGGATGTGTGGGATGCGTGATGGATGTGTGGAGCGTGCAGGCGGTGCAACTCCACTGGGATAAAGGGGCCCAGGCGCGGGGCTACGAAGCGGGGGTGGGGGGGGCGATTGGACTGGGGGCCCCATTTAGATTCCTTGCACCTGGGCCCGTGCCAGACATGGTAGGCCACGGGCAAGATGGGCAACTGCGTAATGCCTCACTGCCTGTCCTCACTGGATCTTTTAGTATAAATTATGCACTATTTCATTGTGCGTCGGGCAGGCATCATTTGGCACTCTTGTTGACTGGATGGCAAGGAAAACCAGCTTTCGTCTGGGGACCTCACAAATGAGGTTGTGACACGTTACCCACGTGGGCTCAATCAGTGACGTCCATAGCCCTGTGGTCCGTGTAAGCTCGGGGACTGAGATTTCGTTTGTGCAAAACACTGTTATTCATAAGTTATTAATTAGGAGGTTTAAAAAAAACTAACATCTGCAGCTCCTGGTAATCCGAAGCCCTAATATGCCAGTGTTAATATATGAGCGTGGGGCAGATGGCCATTCAATAGTGACACAGTTTGCGCATCGGCAATCGTTCACGCTTGTCATGAGACCCGTGGCGTCGAGGGAGAGTGCCCAACGAAGCGACTTCCACGGCAATGTCACTGAAAGCGGTCTCTCTGCGAGTGCTGCCATTATTGAAGCTACCGTGTGAATTACACGTTTCGGACCAAGGTGTAAAGCTTAAAATATTGTATATGTTGGCACAAGCACACGCGCACACACACAGGTTGCTTTGTCCAATGCTATTCTAATTAGGCAGAACGAAAATAGTAATATTATTGGGTCTTTCGGTAAAGTCACGTAGATAGGTTCAAAGAAAATAACAAAAAAAGAACAAAAAACTATGACGTTTTGATGACAATACAAGCGATCATCATCAGGAGGAAAAAATAGGGGGAAAGCTGCTGAGGCAGACGGTTTTAAAGGTATAAAATGTGTAGCCCAAGGGTCATAAACGAAGTGGGCGGGGCTAGTAATGTCAATGTGAGAAATTAGCATGTTCATAATAAAAACTCAAGGGAAGTATTGGCCAGCAGCTAAACCTTGAGATTTACGGGTTCCCATAAGATGCACATTGATAGATAAACCAATTAGCAGTTAATTTGGTGATTACTAGTAACAATTACTGATGAAACCATATAGACCACAGCAAAAGCCTATAGTCACCATGAAGTTATGGTAATGTCGCTATGATGCTTATGCCTAGCTAGGTGCACATTAAAGGCACGTTGGGTGGTGAAATTCCACTGACAAGGAGGTCGTGGTACAGACCTAGGCGTTATGGGTTAATGGACCGAGATGACTGGCAGATGCGCGAACACCATTTGTGAAGATGTGTGGTGTTGTATGTAGGCTTGCACGAGGTAATCATGATTAATGACACAAGGTAACGCCATAGCGTGCCATATGCCGTATAGCAGACATTAAATATCCAGTGACAGCATTATGGATAGATTTGTGTTCTACAATAGTTGCATAGATTATTCTGATCTTCATTGTAAAAGACAAAAATACCGTCAATGTGCTCTTAATGCAATTAAAAACAGGGCCACAGAAATATTGCACTTTGTGGACGTATATATTTAAGCATTTTGATTTTTACATACCGTGCAGTATATATGAAAAACATTGCCTATGGGGAACTCTTAAGTATTTTCTACTCAAGGCCCTTAAATGTTTAAAACTACCCGAATGTAATCACATGTGTTTGAGTGTGTATTATATTGCCTGGTGTATGCTACTTATTTCCTGCATAGCTCTTTGTTTTGATTTAAAACTCTAATAAAGATAAATTGCACTCTTATTGACACAGCGACCCAATAAAAGTCTATTTAAATAACACAGACAAGGCCAAGAAAAGCAAGTTGGTCGACCTCTTTGGTCGATAAGACTTCATTAAAAGGGGGGAGGAAATACATTTCAGTTTTTTCTGTGATAATTCCGTTGAAAAAATAAGAAATGGCTTTACCCTTTCTGGCAATAAAATAGGCGTGAAGATGTTAAACCACCAAATAGAAACCTTTTTCAAGTAATCAAGTTCGCATTAACCACAAGTACTTGTGGTGAATGCAAACTTGATTCTTTGCAAAAGGTACTCTCATACTTTGATACTGGCAAAAAGGTCCCATAATTCTGTTGCTCGGAGCCGTTCCGACTTTCTGCACAATTCCCCGAAATTATTCAAAACTCTGCCAATTATTTGAGTGTATTTTACTTCGCTGCACTTTGTTTAACCCACAGGAACATGACTGGGTGTGGAGATGCAGACCTACAGTCCAGTCTATAGTAAGTGGGGTTTATGGGTCATGCAAAGATTACGGGTGCCACACGCGAGGTGGTGCACAGCACCCAGCGGGGAGAGGTGGCGCAGCAGTTGGCACGCTGGGCTACAAACCCAGAGTTCGATTCCTGCTCACGGCCACCAACAGCGGTGACGATTAATTCAACTGGTTATGTGCCTCCCTTAGGTTGACTCAGCCTCAAATTAGTATCTGGTGCGATGTGTAAACATCGCCACTGGGGAGACAAAGGCGGCTGGGCGTGGTGCTGGCTCCCCCACCCCTTCGTGTGTCGTGCCGGCCTTCATAGGTGCTCCTCGCTAACAGTATGTTAGGGGCCATACGGGGGATCTTGGGCGCAATGGTGGCGAGATGTTAACTACCTCACCCGTTATGCAGGAGATGATAAATTCGATCCCGACCCTGGCTCCTATATATTTGGAGTTTGCATGTCTCTCCATGGTCGCGTGGATTTTTCTCCATGTCCTACGATTTTCCCCTCTACTTTTAGAACCCACATCACGTTTAGAGTATGTGGCTGCTGTACATTTTCACACGACGATAAGGCACTTCGTCGAGCTATCATTTGCGGTGGCCAGATCGCTTCTTAAAACAAAACAAATAGATATACAACTCAGTGGGGCCTTTAAGCTAGTAAAATGTTTTTTTTTTAATGTCTAGCAAGAAGGTTTTCCTGTCTATCAAGTGTTTGTGCTGCGCGAAACGCAAGCACCACCCGCCTAAGTGCAGCTAACGTCTTGGCGCCTCGTGGCCTGCGACAGTTCTATGTTTTACCGTCACTACTTCGTCCTTGACCGGCTCGGCCATGCTGGCCTGGAGCTTCTGGTAGGCCACCAACTTGGCCGCCTTCTTCTTGGCACGCTCCGCCTGCTGGTTGGTGAAGTAATTGACCGCCGCGAACTCGATGAGCGCCGAGAAGACGAAGGCGAAGCTCACGGCGATGAACCAGTCCATGGCCGTGGCGTATGAGACCTTGGGCAGCGATCCGCGCGCGCTGATGCTTTGCGTGGTCATTGTCAGCACGGTGGTGATGCCTGCACACCGCGAGGGCGATGCTGGTTAGTGGTATAAGCGTTGTTTGTTTGTTTATTTTTTTTTCATTGTTTATTTGTTATTTGCGCGAACCTTTTCTTACCGATCGTACACCTGTCAACCCCTTGTCAGTGCCCTACCATATTACAGACAAATTCGGACTTTATTGGTCACCCCGTGCCCCTTATAAATCTTAAAGTTCATCCTACAAAGTCCCATCACAAGGGAGAAACACAAACAAATAGACACTTTTTTGCCCATATTGAAACGGCTCTATGCCATATAGACCTGAAATCTCAATTTCCCTGCACAAACATACGGGGTAAGCCGTATGGGTTTACAGCTATGCGATCACCCTGTGCCTCAATCACGCTACCCCACATTGGCATCTTGGTGGCTCTCCCTGCAGTGTAGCCTCATCTATGAGCGTGATGATGACTCTTGAGCCCGTCGCCGGGATAAGTACACGACGCCACGACGTAGTGTTGTTGCTGCTGTGGCGTCCTTCAATGTTTTCTTTTTTTACTTGGACTGTGCCCACACTCGAGAAGCGCCAAACTAAGGAGGGCATTGGCAGATTGCAGATTGTGGGGGGGGGAGGTAAGGGTGGTGGTGTTGTCTCCCACCCATCCCACCTTGAGACCCCAAAAATCGGTACGTAATCGATATTTACCAGATAACTTGTATTGTTCTTTTTATATTCATGCAGGGTCCTACAATATTTTAAAACAAGTCTTCGATCCGCTACCGGGAGAGTGCATGTCGACTAAAGAACGATTAGCTGGGCTTGTCTCGATTAATTCAACACAAAACTGAGTTTTGGATGAAGACTACGAGAGTGAACACCACGCAAAGATGTGCACTGCACGGCACAAGAGCTCACGCTCGGCCTTATGCAGACTACCAACTCAAGAGCACTGCACGTGTGGCCGTTTTCTTCGTTTTTACACCACCAACTCCACAAGTTGAGAACATGCGGCCATTCAACACAGGGCTGGAGGAATGCACAAGGCACATACATGCACGTATTATTGTCTCTGTTATGATGGGGTTTCACCGATTTGAATTGGAAGACTGGCTCAAATTGTGTCACTAAATGTGTTCCGTAATTCCTGATTATATACAGTATACGCAGTACAAACGTAGTAAAGATACACATCCAACATCCATTATACACTCGTGACTGGTGAATTGTGTTGGGTCCTGCAAGTTACTCTGTATTTAAAATAACTGCTGCAACAAAATAGCCACGTATATTTGATGCCGCTAAATACGATGTTTTGCACATTTCCTAAATAAAGCCTTCATGTAACTTCTTCTTGTTCGTCCATCAAAGTTGATGATGACCATGGCACGTTTGTCATTTTGTTGGGTTTTGATGAGTGCGCAGATGGCTGAAGAGGCCAATCCGAGCCCGGAATTCCCTGTGGCACACTGGACAGGTCAGGGAGGATGTAGAGCTCTGAGGTGCAGCCACACGTCCTTCCATGGTAGATTTGCGCTGCTGCCTCTTCAAGATAGCACAGGAGCGTCTCCTACTCTCACAGAGGACTGCACCGTCCTGTACTTTTCTTCTCCAGGCAGGTCGGTCCTGTAACTAATTCCACAGTGAATAATGCAAGAAACAGTCTTTGGAAACCCACTGGTGGATAAAGGCCTCTTGGTGCCTGCCGGCTGTGGGGGGCTTAAGGATGCTTCATCACGCTGCTCAGTACCGCATTGATAGAGGGCTGTGGTTTGGGCTGGTGCCGATATCACGACCATGGCCAGGAGTCTGACTCGGACCGCCCAAGTCAGAGTGTGCAGTGTACTAACCACTGTGCCACCACTCCCCCCCTACCCACCGCATAATACATGTGCTATAGTCGGGGGGGTTATTCGACTATTCTTCACCTATGCCGAGCAGTGCAGGTTGGAGGCGGGGGGGGGGGCAGCATAGACGTGGGAGCATATTACAGAACAACAATGGGTTTTATTGCTACACTGTAGAACCCCCACCCATAGTGATAGACTTCAAATACAGGATGTAAGCAACATTCGATTGCTTTGCTGCGCGAATAGTTACTGGCGCTTACTATACTAGATATGGTGCACTCTATTGTATTGAGTAAATACGTTTCAATTGTTTATCAGATTCAAGGTTTTGCGTTTGTTTCAAGTTGCAATTGTATGGCCACAAATGACTCACGCACACAACTCGCCTCGCGGTGTCAAGATTCACACTTGTACTTTCACGATTGCTGTGTCAAGATCTACACTTGTACTTTCACGATATCAGTCAATGGGTGGCGTCAAAGATGCTTCTTACGCAGCACATTCATGACATCCTAGTTTTGCGCAAATATTGCGTTATCTGCATGCACGTTGCTGTTATATTAAATACATTATGAATACCTCTGTATGGCTGTATTCCATGCTGATATATAATAAAACAGGCATGTTTAGCACAGTGATAACAGGATGCAATGGCAAGAGGAGTAAATTCGAATTTACAAAAGCGATTTACCAAACACCGTCCTGGCAGGCACAGACTCCTTGTTAATCCAAAATGACACTTGGGAGAGAATGACCGTCATGATGCACGGTATGTACGTTTGAACTATGAAATATCCCATTTTTCTCTTCAGGTAAAAGGACACGGTCATAACGACATAATCTCCTGCAAAGTGGAACACAAAGAACCCATTAATGCCGCAAGCGCACAATCGCATGGTAACAATACGCAATCTTCAATCAGACAGTCACCATGCAAGCCAGTGGATGCGCCATTGACAAGTGGAACTCGGGCGTTACCGATTTTCGATTTGAGTTCTTCGCTTGAGACGTTGTGCCCTGTTAGGTCATACTGTAGCAAGCTCGAAGACTCTTGCGGGACCTCCACAGAATTGTTAGCACCTTTGGTCCAACTGTAAATGATTTCACTTTTGGGGTAGGCATCTGTCGATACATAATACTGGTTATTTACCCAATGCATAGCACGGGCACATTTATTGCTGTGATTGATGTGGAAGCAAATTAATGACACGGCTGATGGCACATTGATTATAATAGTTTTAATTAACGTGCGAATAAAAACAAACACTCACAACTCCCGAACTTCAGTGGGCAAGTATGGCCATCCATTGGAAAATCCATGAGTCTCATTGGGCATTCAGCGTTTATCGTCAGCCTGTCTCAAGAAAACACAAGCGTAGAGCACACATACACACGCATAAGTGGTTTGAGAGCCTCCATTAATTTAACCAATTGTAAGGTGGTGAGTTCAAACCCTGGTCAAAGGTTGACCCAGCTCATCATCATCATCATCCCTCTGCGGTAAATAAAATTGGGAACCGCGTTCTGGCAAGCCAGCGGTGGAAGCCACTCAGAGATGGGTTGCCTGCTGAGGCACTTTGACGTTTTGAGCATTCGCACGCAGCGTGATTGATACTGTACCCCTCGCAATAGCAAAGTGGGTGGTTTCATGACTGGCTCAGGACCACTAATGGAGACGAGCTTTTGCCAAACACGAGTGAAGAGTATGCACAGGGGTACGTTGACCCAGATTGACTGCGCAGGTCTTTACCGTTCACGTGCTCCTTAAAATACAGCATAGCTGCCACTACTGCTGCTGCTGTTTCCCTGCACAGACAGAATAGAGTGCACTATCCATGCAGATACCAGCCATAACTGCAGGTAGGCCTTCCACTAGCAGTGGCATGAGCGAGGAATTGCAGGGCTGCACTTTTACCAATTGCACCACTGATGCGGTCTGATTTATGGGTGCAGGTGATAATTCTGATGGTGGCTTTCTCTGGATGATTTTGAGTTTTAGGGTGACGTGTTTAGGAATTCCATATCGGATAGACGTTTATTAGTGCTATCAAGATGTGATAAAGGCACGGAGATGGGTGGCAGATGCCGGAGATTCTGCGCCAATAGGAATCGGAGGTTCTGCAGAGCTGGAGAGATATCCAAACGAATTCGCTGTTAATGTGCATCGACAATGCAACTAAAATTAAATGCTTGCTTCGCACGCGTAAAAAAAAACAGTTTCTCTTTACACGCATGCACGCGGAGGCAAATGTATCACCGACATGTCCGAAACGCACGAAGGGACGAAGGTATTCGTGCGGCAGCATCACGTGCGTGAAAGACGTCCTCCATCCATCGCGCATCAAAATCAACTCTTGAGATGAAAACACCCCCTCGCCCCACCGTCCCACCCGCGGAGAAATCGGCTCACCTCATGGTGTAGAGCACAGTTCCGTTCTGCATGATGCGGAAGAGTTTGTTCGGCGCCGTCATGTTGTGGGCAATGGATTTCTTCCCGTTCCTAAAGTACGTGTCTGGGGTCCATATCCTGTTCACCATCAGGTTGTTCAGCCGAAGGATTTCTATCGGCCCGTCAAACTTCAGCCGCTCGTCAACCCACGTTTGACGAAAGAACACGTCCATAGTGTAATCCTTACAACGGGTAACCAACAACGGTTGAGTGCATCGGTTATGCAACGTTTCAAGACGCGTCCTGTATTGTTTAACTTTGTTAAGCGGTATTATGTTATGCGACGCATGCAAACCCAAAAGCATAATGTTCACACACGTGCAAAGAAAGGCTTCGTTTACCATTTCCACATCTGAGACAGGTCCAAAGCTTGTCACGTAGATGTCAGTTTTAACCTCCGTAACCGGCCCTGCACGCATATATAATACACAGGGCATTAAAAATCTCAACTTAATTAGTTGACCCAATCCGTAAACATCTATTTTCCTTTTAGACAGTGCCTTGGAGAGTTCAGTTGGTAATGCAGCAGACTACGAATTGTAAATTTCTAGGGATTCCAATTTATAACTCTGTCCATTATCTAGCTGGGTGAACTATCTATCTGTCAAACCTGCACTACTTATGGGTAGACAGGATCCTGTAAACAGAAACGTGGAGATTCCACCCGTGGCTCACGACCACCAATGAATATGTTAGTGGCAGAGTGGTGCAGTGGTAAAGCTCGTGCCACACAGCAAAAAGAACCTGGGTTTGATTTACGATGCCTTTTCGTGTCGAGTTTGTCTGTTATCCCCCTGTTCTGCATGTTGTTACATCTGGGTTCCCTGGTTTTCTCTAAAAGCTACCCCCCTCCCCACACAATGTAACTGGTGTTGGATGCGCATACCAATGCTGAAAAAGTACCTTAACATTACTCAACTACGATTATATACCCAGCAACATCGCTCCCCTCGCCTCCCTACTGCAAAATTTGCTAGGATCCTCCTGAAATGGAGTCTTGAGATTTAGCCGAGGCGGGCTTTCCTGGGCGTAGGCAATCACGGGGACACTGATGGCGATTAGCTGTGAAAGTTTCTGTGGAGTCGCGTTGTATAGAACGGAACCGGTGTACCGACGACCAGGGCGTCCTGCCCCATTTAATCATAATTCAAATTTATAATGCGCATTCCATTCTTGGATCGACTGTCAGCCACCACGCAGCCGCCGCCAATGCACGTCAGCAACCTGATGAGACCATTGTGGTGTGAGCATATTACCGCCAAAGCCTGGCCGGAGCCTGTTGTCGTATCCATCAAGGAGTCGATCTAATATCTTCGTTATGTTTTCCGGGTAGATCGTCTCATCCTTCTTCCCATTAGGAGGACTGCTTGATGTTGTCAATGAGATGCTGTGTCCCAGCAGAGGCACACGATTTTGCATTGTATTACACACAGTGAGCTGTGGCAGTGGAACTTATAACTACGTGCGTCGAGAGATGTACTTGCTGGTTAGATGCTATCCAATTAAATTTCACAAGGCTCTCAGATGTGGCACACACTCATAAGTTGATTTATTGGCAGGTTCCATCGCCATTCTGCTCTGGCTAAATATACCAGACTAGAAATAACAAGCAAATGCAAGACGTTCTTGTATATTACTGTGGCCTTTAAAAAAAACTGATAACAGGCAACGTTTCGGACAATGTCCCTTTATAGCACATTAATTATTTATAAATATATATCTGCTATGAAGCAGGCCCAATGCCCAAAACGTTTCCTATATGTTTCATTTTAAAGCAGTGTTATTGAAGAACGTGTTCACTTTTGTTTGGCTATTGTTACTCAGGCACCAAATGCCAACCAATTATCAACAGAGCATGTGTTATACTCGAGTGTAGGTTACAGAAAATGGTAAGGTTTATACACAGTTATCTCAATTGGCACTGCCTCTTATTGAATACAAGATTCCTTCATTCGTGCGTTTATGGACTGTTCATATATTAATGAGAAGCTTTGTTCATCGCAACGTTTAAGTTTTTTTTATTCCATATGAAATGTGCCTTGGCTACTTTGGCATCACGTTGTGGCATTAATAATCATCGTGGCCGTGTTCCGGTGACGGTGCTGGCAATTGCTGTGTAGTGCATTCCCAAATGCACACTCAGAGCACGCGAATAGGCCACTCCACGCTGCTGCTCGGTGCACAGCGCGTGGATGCTCCCATTGTTATTAAACGCGCCAGCTATCAAAACTTCACCTTGCATTCGCGTTCATAATGTGCACAGTCTTTAAATGGCCACCTAACTAAAATACCACAAGTGCATGTTTTTTTTTGCATTGAGTGGGCCAAACATTACCCGAGTTAGCCCGTGCAAGCCTCTAACAATCAGGTATACTCTCTGGCAATTTTGGAACCAATTATGGCTCACTGATGAGTGCTAAGAGCATGAAATGGGATACATTGACCTTGAAAGCCTGCAAGTATGTCTAATGAAAGGCTGAGTATTATTTGCCGTGAATCTATGTAGTGTACACCATGTTTATTTTATTGGTATAAGACTGCATGCTAATTATATGCCGTGCGCACATACTTGAGTACATATATTATTAAACAAATTATATGCATACGTGTATACACAGGACATCCAAATGGCATACACTTACGCGCAATACCATATATAAAAGCAAACGCATGCACAGGATACCTATATAAGCCACGTGTGTGGCACGTGCGCACCTATTGCACACATATAAGCCGCATACATCAGCTGCATGGAGCTCACCACAGGTCGTGAGCGGAGAGATGGTTCACACGTGCGCATATATAGGCCACTCGCTCACCTTGATACAATGCAAACGCAAACAGCGTACACGAGCCAAGCACATATGCTGCTGTGTGCAGCGACGAACGTGTACACATGCACGTGGGCGTGTGGACACACAACATCCACAACTGACCACGGGCCTATGAAATGAAACACATTCATTTGGTGATGCTGCGTTGGCAGTGGCACACAAGCACAGGCGGCAACAACAACAACAACAACAGAATAGCCGCACAATTGTCAATACCACCCGTCATAAACAAAAACAATACCATGGGCTAATTATTTGGGTCCTTTGGTAAAGTCACATAGATGGTTCAAAGAAAATAACAAAAAACTACGACGTTTCGATCACAATACAAGCAATTCATCTTCTTGGTTCTTTCGGTAAAGTCACGTAGAAGGGAAGTATTACAATAATAAAAATAAAACATAATAAAATTATTCTCACGACGTTTCGGCCACAACGCAAGCAGCCGTCGCCTCGACGGACCTGGTTTTCACCTGCGGACGGCTGCTTGCATTGTGGCCGAAACGTCGTGAGAATAATTTTATCATGTTTTATTTTTATTATTTTATTACTTCCCTTCTACGTGACTTTACCGAAAGAACCAAGAAGATGAATCCCTGTGCAGTCACGAACGCTTTAAATGAAAAAAAAAATACAAGCAATTGTTATTTTCTTTGAACCATCCACGCGACTTTACTGAAAGACCCAAATAACATTAATTCCTGCAGTCACGAAAGCTTTAAGTCAAGATTTAACCATGGCCTAAGTTTCAAGAGAGCTTGGGCCAGTGGCTCAAGTCCTCCCCTAGCTTTAAACACAACGCCCCACTTGCTGTGCGCATCACCCGCTCTCCTGTAGCCCCATGCGTAGAGGGTCTCGAACTGCCCTGCGAGCCCAGAACCACTTGTTACACCGCTGCCTGGTGGCGATGCGGGGATGTCCCCTCCAACTGCACACCCCCCTCCCCACCGCGTCTCTCACTCAAGTGCGACGGCGGTCGCCGCTGCTAACGGCCGGAGCCACACGCACATTTTTTTTTGTTTTTGCCCGTAGGTTGCTACGCATGTGCTTCACAGCGCTCGTGTGTTCGCTGTACACGTTCACCTGCCGGCCTTCTCCAGACCCACCCAAGGCTGCTGGTGTCTGGAAAAGGCTTACAGCTGTCGCACGTGCAATGCGCACCTTTGCGTGATGTTAAATACGTTTGATTTTGCGGCCAGTGTAACTCTCGTCATTTACAGACGTGAACTTGTGATTGATATGATGAAGGGAAATGGCCAAGGCACAAGCAGTCTTTGTATCGATGAAGACCTTAACATGGCTGCTGGTTTGAGCCATGGGTTTGCGTGCGTGTGTTGATATATACATATATATATAAATATATAAAATAATTGCATACAAAGAAATGGCCCGATGTGATCGTATCGTTGCTTATAACATTCAATAGGACGCGATTACGCACGGACACATCACGAACGGCAGCATTTACCCCTATTTTGAAATGCCAATTCTATCGACGGGTAACAATGACGGAGAGACGCCGTTGCGTGAGGATGATGCTTGTACTGATTCTATCATGGCCCCCCTCCCGGTTAGGGAAAGTCCGACAGGCGGTAGCTCCCACACGAGGACAGCCGCAAGCTGACCACACCACGGTGGCATTTTTGCTCGAGCACATTGGGCGCACGATACGAGCGCGCGAACGCCTCTTAAACGACGTTGAGTAGCGGACAGCGCACTTTCCTAGTTCCCCTTCACATTTAATGGGGAGGGGGGGGGGGGAGCGACAGATAGTCGAACACCGTGGGGGTCGGGTAGCTTATTGGCCAACCCGCTACTCTGTTTGAATAACCTGACCGAGACCTGCGAATAGCAGCGATCGCCTCCCTGCTCGGCTGCTGCCCCGCCACCGCAGCAGCGCCCGCGAGGTTGGCATGCGTGCGGCGATTGCAGCTCCACCGGCGTTACGCGCTCCGACACGCAATCGCTGCGGAATGGTGGCAGCTGCGATTCATAGCGGCACGATGTAAAACCCCGGTGACAGCCCAGCTTTAGCCATTGGGCGTCAGCAGAGTGATGGATCGCTCGTTTGCATGATGATGATGCGATAAACACGTCTCTGCTAATACACGCGCGCGCTCGTACTAGAAGAGGCATAAGCGATCCACGACATATGAAGGCACTTACCAGAAGACACAGCAGCATAGAAGAAAATAAAGCCACATATGTCTGGGTATCATCCTGCTTGACATTCCTCTCCCGTTTAAGCCATGTATAGAGGCTTTCAATTGATGCGGCCGGATACACGATTCGGTGCCTGCGGAAATGAACAATAGTTAGTTAAGCCGCGTGAAGCGACCCATCAACACAGCAGATTCATCCAACACACGAGCAGGGGAGATACACTTTGACGTGCTTAATTATTCCCAGCGGCGCGTGTTTTCACTTGTGTATTAGCCCAGATAATGTTCTCCCTACCATTAATACGAGTCACGCGCTCGACATAACCCCTTGGCATTAAGTGATAGCTATATCTATAATCTTAATGAAGGCTTAGATGCTCTGAAGCTTTAAATTATACGTTTACGTATTTTCTCTAGGCATGCGCGTCGAACAACCAAAATTAAATGACTGCATATCTCGCATTGGCACACACAATGTCGTGCGTGTATACATTTTCCTCTTTACGTGTATATTATATCTATCCTTAGCGTTCAATTGACTCGTGCGGTCTTCAATCGCGCTGGCTCCATCGCAATCCGCGGCTCGAATACTCACACGTCTGCAGCGCTGGGTTTAGTTGCAATGGTAGAGGCGGCGAGGAGGCGGGAGGGGGGGTGAGAGAGTGTCTCACGAGGAGGAGTGTGTGCGCGTGTGTGGCGCAGCACTGCCGCGCGTGTATGTGTATAAATAGACGGTGAAAGCGTGGAGCAATAGCAGCAAGCGGCAAGCAAGCAAGTGCTGCTTGCGAGGCAAGAATCTCGACGGGACGTGATGTTAATCAAACGTGATTTGACACGGCACGCGCCTTGGCTATTGCTTACCAGAGGACCTCGTTTATACGCAAACACACACACACAAACGTAATATGAAGTATAAATGACCCAACAAACAGTGCATGCTGGGCTATAAGGGACGCGGCGATTTAGCGCTCTGATCGAGTGTGGAGATTATCTTCAGTTCGGCATCAAACTAAAGCCCCTGGGCTTATGCGCCTAAATATTACTGTCCATTGAACATAACGTATTTATCAACAACAAGAAGAACAGGTTTTTGTTGTTGTTACCTCTAAAGAATATTGTAGCACCACCTCGTGTAAAAAACAAAAAACAATTGTCATCTTACATTCGCCACCGATGTAAAAAAATATATATATATATAACACAATAGCCCGATAAATAGCTCAGTAGACGTGCAGACAGGAAAACCCAGTGCCCAATTGCTACACAAATCCTTCAGGCTCCGGTGGCAATCCCGCGTGGACAGCTCCGACTGCTAAAGCAAAGATGATCACATCACGTGATTGTATATTCTCGCACCGAGCCGGCATGGCCCCGTGTGAACGCAGCGTGTAACACGGTAGTGGAGATGCGAGCACAGTAGTGGAATACGCGAGCACGGTAGTGGAAACGCGAGCACGGTAGTGGAGACGCGAGCACGCCGAGCTCGCATGAGCGTGCCGGCGGTGTCCATCAGTGCCGGATGGCATCACGACTCGCCTCGCCCGAGCATCACGCCCGAGCAATCGCCACTAACACAATAGCCTACGTGTTAAACTAAGTCCCGGCGTTTGCAGTGTCTTCACCTGTTTCCACCGCAGGGCTATCTGCTCCCCACTGTGTCGGAGCGTCGTGGCTTACAGCCGGACGCGCGCACCATCAGACACACTCAGCGTGTGGTATCCTACTTACAATGCTGCTGCTGCTGCGCGTACGTGTATGCACGTGTGCGTGTGCAGCCCGCGTCTGCATATACACACATACCCCACGCATGTGCACAGAACATGTTCCTGCACTTGTGTTCAGGTGTGTGTGTCTGCCCGTGTGTGTGTGCGCATGTGTCGGTGTGTACGTGCGACAGAGCGAGTGCACGCAAGTTTAGCCGCACGCACAGTACTCGTGCACAATGCACGCACACAAAGCGAGCGTTAATGCAATCCCCAACTGAACAACCGTGATAACAAACAAACAACACCCTCTACAACAAACACTCAACCTCAAAGAACGCTTCTATGAACGAAGGAACAGTAGAAGATATTGCAAACCCGACACGCGAAAGGCACGAATACTTGCCTATGTGCGAATGAGCGCTGGCGAGCCGCGGTGGTCGGACGTGAAGGTTCGATCCGGGGATCCGGGCTCTCAGAGGCTGAGCTGCTGCCGTGCCATGCTCCGGGATGCAGCAGCAGACACGCTGTGCTGCTCTGATGCTAAGCGGCGCGCACGACTGCCAGCGAGGCTGCGCTGCTGCTGCGCATGCGTGCGTGTGTGCGCGTGCACGTGAGCGTGCGTGCGTGTGTGCGTGGTGCAAGCGCGTGTGCCCGAGCGAGTGCGCGCAGCGCCGGCTGAGCCGGGCATCTCACCACCTTCTACTCAAACCCCGCTCCATCTCCCTCCTCCCCCCGCTCCTCCCCACCACCACCAACATCCCATCCGCTCCATCGCTGAGTGCCGCCTCCCCGCTACCCCCCCGTCCTCCCAACCCGAGCCCAAACACACGAGCCGCTGCCGTCTGTGCTCGTCTTGAGAAGCAACTCCTGTCGGATCTACCCCTCAACTCCGCCAATTGGACACTCTGCGCTGGGCCTCCGTCTCCATCTCGCCGTGTCTGTTTCATTCTCGCAACCACCCCCATTCCCTCTCCTCGTCATCGGCCTGTTTTCTCGTTGTTGTTCATCATCATCCCCGCTCCTCCTTGCATCCCCTGCTCCGCGTGTGTGTCCGCGTGTGCGTGCGCATGGTCCCAAACGCCGTCTGCAGCGCCATCCGTCGCCGTGCTGCTGACCAACGTGTAGGGGGCTGCCTGCGGAAAGCTCCCTTTTCTCTCTTCTCTCTCCACAACATCACTAAACATGGGCAAAGTCGGTAGAAAAATCCTCGCGTCGTTGTCGCTGCCTCTGGTAATTGCAGCGGTCTGCTGCGTGCATAGGTAAAACGCATTTGCTTTTTTTCAGCTCATTTTGCTCGTAAGTCGCCGTCGTGTGTGTTAATGCGACGAGGAAGATATTCGATGCTCACGCCGCTACACAATTCGACATCGATGTAACGGCGGCTCGGCACGCACGCGCGAAATGAACATCGGGATGATGTTAAAAAGATGGCTGTTTGTGTGAGTTTTATTATTATTTATTCTCAGCGCGAATGAACAAGACAACATGTCGTTTGTGAAGGACACAGTTGATAGTCTGCTGAGAGGATACGACATTCGACTGAGGCCGGATTTTGGAGGTAACGTCTGAAATCGCGCATCTCTTTGCCGCGGTCGCTTCGCGCACACGCAATCGTGGCCTGGGCTCACCGCTCTCACAGACATCGCGTGTCCATTGCACCACCGGTCGTCGCTTATTTACTATTCCCGCTCATATAGTCTCGATGCATTTATTTTTTGGGTTGGTTCGGGGGGGTGGGGGGGAGACTCTACGATATCTGCAAAACCGCCGCACATCTGCGTGTGCACGCGCGCAATTGCAATTCTCCCGTAAGATCGCTCTCTCGTCCCCGCTCGCTCTTCCCCAACGCGAACACGGCTCACGGAGAGAGAACGGCATACAACGGCGGCCTGTGCTGCTTTACTGCACCAGTCTGCGCCGAGGGGTTTAACTCTTTGGCGGCGTCTCGCAACCGGCAACATCGAACGAGACTCGCCTCGCCGACGCACGTTGGGCACCGTTATGTAATTGCTGTGTAGCACACGCGACGTACACAGACTGCGTGACACAAGACTGCGTGTCATCATGCACACAGAGCCGACAGGCCGTATGCGCACGCACGATCGTTGCAACTGTGTAACCCGTGCTGCGTATTGCGTTATGAATGCGACACGCATCGTCACACTTGCTGTAGTTGTGTTACACTCCGGCGAGGGTGGGCGCTGCGCTTTTGACTTTCGTTCAAATTATTCCAAGTTCAATTCTCGACCGGGAGACGTCTAAGATGGGTCATCCATTCATCCCTCTGGAGTCAGTGCAAGGGGTCTAAGGCCAGACCACTGTGTGGGGATTCGTCGACAGTGGTCGTGTGCGGTCTGGCGCCCGGCTTCAGAATGTGGAATTGTCGTGTGAACTATCGCTGGCATACTGTACATGCCCAACAGAGCACCTCGCCTCTAAGGCAACTGGCATAAGTCCTTTGTTACGTGCACTGTACTCGGATACGTATCCTGTCTGTAAAATAGCCTGATTTTCTTACCACGGGAACGATCCCATTTCCCGTGTCTCTCACAAGGAGCGTAGGACTATTTCACATTTGCGCTGTTATTGTTGTTGACGCTTTCCAACGAAGCTTAAAATAATTCCTTGCAATGCCGCCTGTCTCCGTTCGTCCGTCTGCAATGGGGGTCACTGAGTCTCATAAAGATGATGCAGTCGTGTTATAAACTTGTGTTGCAATTGTTTTGTGCGAGGATTGTCCAAACTCGTCGATACATTTAAAAAAAGATTAGTGTTTTGCACATGCCAATGACGTCACACACACAACATGCGCGCATGTTGTGTGTGTGGCTTGGCCTTTTTCATCCGTCATGCATCATTATGAGCCATGATCAATCCGCTGCTGGATAAAGGCCTCCCCAAGCCACGATATCTCATTTGCCTGCAATGTAACAATCCACCGAGTACCAGCACACGAGCTGATTTAAATACTCCATCTCCTCCTCCGTTGTCACCCTCTTGAGCTTCGTGCCAATTCCTCGGCTGCCACCCCATTATTATTCTTGACCATCGGTCATCATCCCTTCCAGTCGTCACGTGTCCTGCAAACCCCACTTACGTTTTCCTTAACCGTTTGATTGACGTATTTAACCTTTCACGGTTCTCTAAAATAATACAGTACGTCCGAGAACAAACCTATGTTGAAAGGCGTTCTAAAATCCACGCATATTTAAGTATTGTATTCCTTGTTTTTTACGCAGTATGTAAAATGATCTGTCACAACACAACGCAATGATGACATGCGCTCGTAAATTACATTACAGACCTCAGTATATAGTCCATTGAAAAACAATGGACATTCGGGTAAAGCCTTGCAAAGATTTCCCAGCAGGTTCAGAGTAAAGGCTATTCTATATGCTCCAGTAGTGTGTATGAATATCCCTAGTTATGCCTGCTTTGGAAGCATATATCCCTGCTGGGGAGTGGAATGGCAGGGCCGCCTCGCCACACAGTGGGGTTGCCTGGGGGGCACGGCTCTAGCCCAGCGGGCCTCGCATATACTGGCTCGTGTGTACAAAGCGTGGCAGCCACACTGCTCATTCCAGGCTCATTTTGCCCAACATATGCCAGGTTCGGGTGACATTTGACCGCCCGCGTTGTCTACAGTCAGGTATCGGGGAGGCGCCGCTTGTTGCAGAGGTTCCGCGGTTCAAGAACCCTGGCCGCCCTGATTAATACAACCCGTTAACTATAACGTATGTGCCGTCCACATGAAAGTGGGCGTTAGAGATCCAGTGACGTTATTATAAAATTAGCAGGCCGTGTGTGCCGGTGTCCTGGTTTAAATTTACCAATTTTTTTTTTACAAATTACTTCGTTTGAATAACCAAGAGCAGAATCGTCCTCCGTGCTGGCAGACATGCCCCCATGTAGGCTGGTGCCACGTCACCTCGTGCCGCTCAGGGACAGCTGTTATCAGGGGGTCCCCTAGGCTATAAAAAAGTATAACCCGTAAAAACAAAATTTTTCACTATAAATCCTTAATATGCGTGGCGGCTAGAGTCCTCTCGTCCTCTGGCTTGAGATGGCTGTCACCTATGGGTCAGATGATTGCATGGCAGCATTAAGCAATTGGTAATTCAATATACTATTTTTGTCCTAAAAAGTGTAAAATTTTGGGGAAAAAAATTTCACAAACATTAATTGTCACGCACAACGAGTATGTGTGGAAAATGTCAGCTCAATTGGATCACGGGAAGTGGGTTAAAAAACGACCGAAAAATTTGCACGGTCCTAAGCAAGCAAGCAAGCAAGTGAACTTAATATAAAGGATTTAAAAAGGAGAAAACCACAGCTGGGCATTGGAATTATTGAGATGAGATGTGGTGTAAGAAGGTGCTTTGATATGCTGGGGCATTTCAGCGAGCGTCCAATGAACTGCAAATCTCGATTCCTTGTTCCGTATTTGAACTTGGGCGACCGGGATCGTAGTGGAATCCAAGTGGCCTAGACGTGCATCACTGGTGATAGAACTTAAACGAGTCTCGTGTGTTCTAAGAAGTTGGCATAATTTGTGTTTAAAATGCAAACGTATAGAACCGATGTGGAACCGTGTGATTGCAATCGTCAGCACTGTTCTTGATACCTCATGAAATTCGTGTGGTGTCAAAAGTTCACCGTGCAGAGCCGTGCAAAGTGACTGTTTGTCTGCAGGACCCCCGGTGGCAGTCGGGATGAGCATCGACATCGCGAGCATCGACATGGTGTCCGAAGTCAACATGGTAACTACATGGATGCACTGCGAGTGGCGGGAACACACGGGGCGCCCACGGCTGATGCGCGGCATCCGCGCGGGGCGTGGGTCACAGGGGCACCAACTTACCGACTTACGAGCTGCTCGTAGTGGCAGCTGAATGGATACCATCGCACGGAGAAAAAGAAACCACCGCTGTCACCAACCATCATTGGTTTTGGGCACCGCGGTACCATGCATCGGGAAACAGGGGACGTGCAGGGCTGAGGTTAGGGATGGGGGTTAGGGCTACCAATTTGTTGAAGAAACCTTTATCAGAGCCAGCAGTATTGTGTGCTGTACTCGCAACAAAGATCATCATGAAGGTATCCGAGCTATCTGTGTAGCAGAGCTGTTCCTATTCGACTTTGTGGATTGGACCCCTTGATGCGTCTGCACGAACAAAACACGTCGTTAACAGTTAATGGATGACACACACACATCACGTTTGTGCATGATTTCCTAACATGCTGAGCGGTGGAGGGAGCAAGAGATGGCATCTGTGTGGATTTTACATATTCCTGGCCTACATGGGGTTCCTCCTCCCACATTCAGTCGCTCATTAAGAAATAGCCAAACGTGGCATGACCCCTGCGCCAGTCTCAAACCTAAGCGAGGACTGCATGGATACATAAAGGGCGTTCCTATGTAAATTATAAGACCCTCCCCAAAGAATATTGCTGTCTCAATGAGACTTGTATATACATTGAAAATCGTAAGTATAAGCCATTCATCATTAAAATCGGTTATTTAAAAATACAATCATGATTGTTTTTTAACAAACGTTACCAATACCGTGTCATGATGTACATTTTTTTATAATTATATATGTTACAACAAAAATGCCAATACTGTGCCATAATTACAATGAAGTGAAACTCATGATCGGATTTGCATTGTTTCCTCTGCAAAACATACACGTGGCTGGCTCGTAACTTACTCTTGTATTGGTCTGGCCTTCACCGACGGTGCACTCCGACACGTACACGACCACGTTGCAGTAGACACTCGACGCACAACAAAGACTGCCCGTTCAGCCTTAACAGACTGTTGGGGCAAGTGATGTTAGCGAGCCCCTATGAAAGCCGGCACGGTACACAGGGGAGTGGGTGGCCAGCACCGCAGTGACGATGTTTACATACTGAACTAGATACTCTGTTGAGGCTGAGTCGAGCTAGAGGAGGCCCATCACCGGATAAAATAATCATCACTGGTGTTGGCTGTGAGATACTTTATGCACACACACATACACACGCGACACATCCAAAGTGCCCCCTTTCCCAAGTGTGAGCAGGCGACTCAGCCAGTGATGGAATTTCCTCGTTCCTATGGTAAGAACCGACGACGTCTACTCACCATAGCCACTGTGCACTTCGCACAGTGACCCCTGGCGCTGGCCAATGTATCTTGTGTTGGATCAAGGCCGCCTTTCTTCGGGTCAATGTAGGCCTTCTAGAGTCAGGCGCTGACTGCTAAGTGACACAGTAACTGATGACAGGGGAGTAAGTGCTGACACAGATGATGGATGTGATTTTGTTTGATGGAAAAGTCTTAATAGACCGTTCTTTTTTTTACAAGCACATTTATTGCGTTGCTCTAACCGCAGCCGCCCCCAACACTGAGATCTCACAGCTCTCGTTATCAGCAGGGCCGTGTGCGAGGTTCGCGACGGGGTGTGTGGATGTCCGTGTGATGGTTAGCGGGGAAAAGCCGAGTTCGATTCCCACTCACAACCAATAACAGTGACGAATATTTGAACCGATTCATGGCCTCCCGTAGGCCGACTCAGCCCTAAATGAGTACCCGGCGCGATATGTAAACATCATAACTGGGGAGACAAATGTGGCCGTGTCGGCCTTCATATGTGCTGGCTAATACCACTGTCTCCAACGATTGGTTAAAGTTACATGAGGGATTTGCATCTTTGTGTGATTAGGGTAAGTGTGATGGGTCGTATGGTGTGTGCGTTATGGAGGGGGGGGGGGGGTGTGAAGGGGGTGTGTGTAATGGGGGTGTATTTGTCTATGTGATGGTGATGTGTTTAATAGACGTGTGTGATGTTGGTGTGTGTGTTTGATAGTTGTGTGTGATGGTGATGTGTGTGATTGGGAAGTGTGTGTGACAGGCGGGGTTGTGGTGATGGTTGATGTGCGTGATGGAGGTATGTGTGATGGTGATGTGTGTGATGGAGATGTGTGTAATGGTTGTGTGTGATGGGTGTGTGATGTGCAGGGACGTGTGATGGGGGTGCTTGTGTATGTAGGTATGTATGTTGAACTTCTTTCGCACGGTACGCAGCCAACCGTGCGATTCGGAGGTGTGGGTATGTGTGATGAGGGTTCGCGTGTGATGGGTGTGTGTGATGGAGGCGTGTGTGCCAGACAGGGTGTGTGTGATAGGTGTGACGGTGATGAGTGTGTTTGATGGTTGTGTCGGTGATCGGTGTGTGTATGATGAGTGTGTGTATGTATGAAGGGTGTGTGTGTGTGTGATGGGTGTGACGGTGATGGGTGTGTGTGTGATTGGTGTGTGTGTGTGATGGGTGTGTGTGTGATGGGTGTGTGTGTGATGGGTGTGTGTGTGATGGGTGTGACGGTGATCGGTGTGTGTGTAATGGGTGTGTGTGTGTGTGTGATGGGTGTGACGGTGATGAGTGTGTTTGATGGTTGTGTCGGTGATCGGGGTGTGTATGATGAGTGTGTGTATGTATGATGGGGGTGTGTGTGTGATGGGTGTGACGGTGATGGGTGTGTGTGTGATTGGTGTGTGTGTGTGATGGGTGTGTGTGTGATGGGTGTGTGTGTGTGATGGTTGTGACGGTGATCGGTGTGTGTGTGATGGGTGTGTCGGTGATCGGTGTGTGTGTGATGGGTGTGTGTGTGTGATGTGTGTGTGTGTGTGATGGGTGTGTGTGTGTGATGTGTGTGTGTGATGGGTGTGTGTGTGTGTCATGTGTGTGATGGGTGTGTGTGTGATGGGTGTGTGTGGTGTGTATGTGGTGTGTGTGTGTGATGGGTGTGTGTGATGTGTGTGTGTGGTGGGTGTGTGTGTGTGATGGGTGTGTGTGATGTGTGTGTGATGGGTGGGTGTGTGTGTGTGATGGGTGTGTGTGATGGGTGTGTGTGATGGGTGAGTGTGTGTGTAATGGGAGTGACGGTGGTGTGTGTGTGTGATGGGTGTGTGTGATGGGTGTGAGTGTGTAATGGGTGTGACACGTACTCTCCGTGTTGGCCGTTGTTGCTGCTCTGCGATCCCGCGGGCTGCCTCGTGTCGCCATCTGTCGTCGTGCGCGGGCCGTGCGCGCGCCGGGGCGAGCCCGTAGAGCCGATTGCGACTTCACGACTGACGGACTCACACGGCATGATGATGGTGATGCCTCGTGGGAGAGGGGGGGGAGTCGTTTGAGTTATGGTCGTACGGTATACAACGTTGTGCACTCTACGTCTCAACCTGCTCAGACAGTACTTGTGCAATACACGACAGTACTTATCTCCTGTCGTGTATAGCCGTAGACTTGACAGTAGTTATTGTGCAACACTGTGTCTGGCCACCCGCCCACCCCTCGTGTGCCTCGCCGGCGAATATATGTGCTACTCAGTGACAGCACCTGCCTCGACACAGTGTCTCACTCCTTAACAGGGGGATCTTTGTCTCTCTGCAGTGTGGGGGAGCGGTGGTGCAGCGGTTAGCGCGCTGCACTCCGAACCCGCTGACCCGAGTTCGATTCCCGCTCACAGCCAGCACCAGTGGCGAATTATCTGAACCGGTCCTGGGCTTCCCCTAGGGGCGACTCAGTCTCAAATGAGTTGGTGCGGTGTGTGCTGGTGTGGTGTGTGCTTGCTGGCGACCCACTCCCTCCTGTGCTGTGCCGGCCGTCATAGGCACTCACTTAACAGCACTTGCCCCAACAGTCTGTTAAGCCTACATGGGGATCTTTATAGTGTTGGGCACCTGCATGCAGCAGAGTGCGGTTCTTGGAGGCTCCAACGCTAGTGGAGGCAATTCCACATTCCAATGGCGGGGACAGTTATTTATTTCAAGACAACCACCACCGTTGACTTTCCGCATTGCTGTATCAGTTTAGATACCGCGGAGGGATTTATGGGCTCAATTGTATACGTGCCTACGTATGAGAGGTGTGTATGTGTTCAAATAGGAGGACATTGACTTCGCAGTCCCCGCGTGTAGAGGAACTTCACATTCAGACGTCCATGGCATTTTTGTCGCGGATTTACTTTCAAATACCTCTTCAGCTGAAGCCCATCATATAGTTACCACCATTGACTGTTCTCCCAGTGTTGTACCTATTGCAGCAGTCATGGGTGGTGACGACTGCTAAGCACAGAAAGGCAAGTCATTTCCATATATATAATATTTGTCTAAATGCATAATCTCATCACATCGGTTGAGTGAAATGATGATCGATGCACACCTGGTTATTTTAACGTTGCGTGGTGCACTGCAAAACACCCGGGACGAGCAGTGTGCCGTGTAAGCTGCACGTTTGAGGAGAAGACGACATCTCTAGCTGCCTGGCTGTGTTCATCATAACAACAATAACAACAACGGGCACCTGAATTGGGCAGCAGCCCAAGCATTCAACAGATGCGGCTTCGCTCGCGTGACCGTTGCATTTTGTAAAGGTAGGTGGCACTGAAGCACAGCGGTGGGGAGAAATGAGGAGGCCGCGTCTCTGCCACGTCGCTCTGAAGTTCATCGAGGCCCCCTGGTGCGGTGAGTTCCACCCGTGAGGACCGCGCCACTGCCGACCGCAGCGGGTGTCCGCTTATGATGTGACTCGCCCAGCGCCCTGGTGATCATGCGTCGGATTGTAAAGTCACTTTTTTCGAACTTCTCGTGTTTTTGTTCGATGTCCTTCCTGCTCTCCCCCATTCCGGCACCTCCGATTAGCATGGTTGGCTCAGGTACAGTGCGAAAGAAGTTCAACGTGCGCACATACGTACATCGTCGTGGTCACCGCTCGTGCCA